CTATGAACAGACCTAAAACACATTGGCAGACCTATGAACATGACCAGGAGAAATGCAGTATTTCTGCATCAGCCATGATGTGCAGCTTGGAGGGTGATTTTTAGTTTTGGTTTGGTGCTATTCTGTTTTTAAAAGAACAAGGCTTTTCATATTGCACACCCCAGGAGAGGCACAAAAGGCATAAGCAAGCTGAATTGATCAGCATGTGGCAGTTCTGCTCCAGTCAAAAAGCAAATAAATATGCTGGAACATAACAAGGGTAAGTCAAATATACACCACAATTACATGGCTCATGGTAGGCAGACTCCAGAAGTGTATTTTTGCGTTGTAACATGTTCTGTATTTTAAAAGCAAATTCTTTTCTTATGATTGCATTTTTGAGATGTAATTAAATGGCTTCAAAATATGCTTTTTTTTTTCTGTAACAACGCTTTTTTGGAAGTTGAGCATCTTTTTTTACTAATTGACTTATGGAGGAACAGAACAGTATTACCGTCAAAATACAGTAACAACACTTCTTATTCCCTGTCCAGTAGGTAATGAAGCAGAAGGAGAGACTGTACAGTGAAATTAAATTATAATACTTACTAACAGGTGAATTTGGTGCTGTCTTGAGTAGTGCACATAGTTAATTTTGTTTTTTAAAATCTATTTGCATTTTAAAAAATTAACGTTTAATCAGTATTAGATAAACCACGACACCCATGCTCACACACACATACACAAACCCTGCCTTTTTGTTTAAAACTGATGCCAAACCAAAAGTGAGACCCAGAGTGGGAGTCAAGTGCCTTGGCCATGCTGCCCTTGCAATTCTGCTCTCTTCACCTTTTTGGGTCCCACTGGCTGGAGGAAGCAGCAATGCTGCACAGCAGGAGCTTGGGAAGAACCACTTGAGAAAATCTGCAGGTGACACAAGTATACAAGGTGCTACAGGCAGTGACTGCAGGGTCACTTCTAGCTGCACAATCTGGTTTTTCAGTCCCAGAAGTCCTACAAATGCCCTCTTCCATCTATAGAAACAAAGCAACCACCTGTCAACACAAGTTCTCAATCACAGAGGACTGGGATTCCTCCAGCATCTCTGACAAATCTGTCACAGCTGGATGTTGTTGCAGATTAAATTTCAGCTGGTTTAAGGTGCAGTTACACAGCTCAGGAATGATGTCTCCTGGACAAGCAGATGCACAAACAGTAATTGTGACTGGATGAGCCAAGGATGGATATGCCACCTGATGTTTCAAATTCTACTGCACCTCGCCCATTGCTACTTTCCACATGATTGCTGGATGCTGAATCTTTTGGGTGAGACCCTGATGCTCCAGCCTTTGAGCTCAGTTGCCTCGCCAGGAAGCACCTGCAGTGCCCAGCAGTGCCCCTGTCCTGCAGCCAGACTGCCCAGGAGTCAGAGGCATAAAGGGCACAGGGTGCCATAGCAGAACCAAAATGCAAACAGCTGAGCTGGCTGTTACTTGCTTTGGATGGGGCTAAGAGTGATCTGACCTATGGCCTCTTCCCAGAAGGTACTATGTTTAAAAAAAATCCTCTAGTGGTGCATTATTAGGCTCTGACACCAATGCAAACAGACCACAGTACAACTTTACAGAAACCAGGTTGGCCTCAGAGTGTGCAGAGTAACAAAAGATGGAAATGAGCGTTGTGACAGAATTCTGGAACTGTACCAACTGCTTGGAAAAAAGAGATTCGGATTTCATCTAATGTCTAGAACAAGATTATCCCTTCTTATCACAGCAATGTAAGCCTAGAGCAGATGCTGGAATTCAGAATTCTGCACCAGCTGAAAGCAGATCTAGGTCCCCAGCAGATAAAATGCTGGACTTGCCAGCACTGTTTTCTTTTTCTGGCTTCTGCTGTTCCTGCCAGTAGCTGCAGTAGTGCTGAAAAGTTATTTTAAAAGGTCAGAGATAAAGATAGTTGGATATGGATTTGCAATCCTGAACACATGCGGTATCTGAGAAGATGATCTGATCTCATATTCTGGTTCAGTCCTTTTATAGTTAATCTCCCCATTTTCCAACTGTGTAGGAATTATACATTTTGGCTAATCCTCATATGCCTCTGGTGGTTGGAGTTTTTTCCATTGACAGCAGTTCATCAGTACAGCTAAACAAAATCACTGTAAGCTGTCAAACAGAAGACAAATGAGAGCTTAGAAAATAGAATACTCACTGAACTGAGACAACACTTCGGCACCGACAATGATGATGGCAGGGGAGCATAGACTATCTAGTTATAATTGCCAATTTAGCAACAGCTGAGCCTGTACTTCTCTGAATGAGTACTTCTGCTAAATTCATGATGTTTTTGTCCTGTGCTAAGCCTTGACGTTAGCAGACACAATGCAAATGCAGTGTTCCAGGGATAACTCCTCTCTCAAAAGCAGCAGGATGTTAGTCTGAGGACTAAGTCCTAAGGGAAGGTCTCTTTTTTCCCTTATGTGGGCACCTGCTGTTGAGCTGAGATTTTTTGAATCTGCTTGCAAGCCTCAAGGTGATGAGCATGCACAATTTTCTTCAGTAGATGTTTGTTCTAGCCTTCACCTTTCTCTGTAAGCCCAAAATATGAATTCATTTTGGTTTAAACTTGCATTTCAGGTTTGTGGAGTCTTGATAACAGCTATCTTTGGATTGTACCTCATAAATTCAGCATTCTGTTTCATCATGAAGGGGTTGCCACCAAACACTGGTGGCTTATTCTGCCAAGGATAGGTGATTTGTGGGAGGTAATTACTGTTTAGCCTCTTGATATGCTCTCTCACTAAAAGATGCTTCAAATTAATGAAGTGTTAAAAGGATATATAAAAATATGCAAAGCCCATTTCTCAGAAATAAATTTTGCTCCAGTGCACCAAAGTGCAGAGAATGGAGCAGCAAAACATCTGCCTGCCCTTTTAAATGAAGAATGGCATCTCAGGAAAATTTATATGGCAGCAATCATTCTCATAATTAAAAATAGTCATCAGCTGTAATATTTGGTGCATTGATGATGTGAGTATACAACATGGCATACCTAAATCAGAAAGAGACTACAAAATCCTGAAATTAAAATTTGACTGTTCCAGAATAGGAGACAGCAAGAAACCAGATTAATAAACAAATCTTTCCACCTTTCCTGTACAGGCTTCCATATCCCGCTGACCATTGTGGGACAGGAACCTTCTAAAAGTCTTCTAACCCCCATTACATACAAGAGAAAATGTGTCCCTTCTCCAAGCTGGCAGTTATTTTAGTCCCATAAATAGCTTGCTGTAAATTATGCCACAGAACAATAAAATTGCAGGGATGACACAAAAATTAGCTATATGATACAGAAAAACAGAGAAATTTGTCTTCAGCTGAAATTTGAAATGTTGCAAACCTATGTAGCACATCCTAAGAGGCTTTGACAGGCCTCTCACCAGCACAGCAGTAATTTCCTTTCCTACCATGTATTCTCTAAGTCATGGCTGCAGGCTTTCTTGTTTCAGTATGGGAAGCACGTTTGGTTTGCAGTGTGGCTATGAGGCAGATCATGTGAAAGGGTCAGTGTGGTCTGAACAATGCCTGTGGTCTGAAGCATTAATATTTGATGCAGCTTTGACCAAATTTGCTGCACTGGAGCTCACATGGTGGGTGGGAGGGGCTGGGGCTGGCAGCACAGTCTGTCAAAGGCCTGACTCAGGCAGCTGCCTAGTCCCGCTTTAAAAGCAGCTGTTTGTGTACAGATTTCACTCATATTGCAAAGTCATAGAAATATGTGCCACTGTCGTAACCAGGATTGCAAATAGGGCTGAGCATTCATGGCTAATGCTGTTACTTATGTAACTGCTACTTAAAAATTTAAGAAGACTCAGATTTACACAGTTGAATTTAAAAGTGAATGAAGAAAGATGCTGAAACAAAAGATTCATCTACTCTTTTCATACTGTGTGTAACATCATATTAGACTTCCCATAAATCTGCATGGGCAGGGGCATGGTTTAAGCTGAGCCAGGGTGCTAGTGGTTTGTACTGTCCTTCCTAGCAGGAGTTGTTTGAGTTGCCCATTTCCAACTCCTGACTGAGGCCCAGTAATGTGAGGTGGGTGGCTGGAAAGGAGGATGCAGAGACACACCTGATCCTCCTGATACAGCCATGAGACTGATGCAGTCACTCATGAAACCACCCTCCAGACTCACCCCTTCTCACTTTTTCCCTTGCTGCCAGATTTAGATTATTTATTACAGCTCTGTGAGTGTGAATCTGACCTGTTTGCCATGACAGGCTGTAGCAGAGAAGGTCAGGACAAAGCTGAGCAAGGAAGCTTGAGTTTTCTCAGTCTTGCTCTTTAAGATGCAAGTAACATCACTTCAGACTTGCATCTGGGTAGTCAGCAGGGATAAGTGCAGGTCTAAGGCCATTCAAGCTGACAAATCTCTGACTCATCTCTCATCTCTACTGGGGTGATACACTTTGCCTATTACTGAGGCCTTCGAAATAAAAAACGGATAAAGGAAAGACAAAAGGGAATTTAACAAAATGTCATAATTAATTTAACAACATTTTAAATCACCAACTGCAGTGTTATTCAATTTTGGTGAATGGGAAATTAAATAAGTCAGTTTTTTTTTTTCAAATCTCAAAGAGCTGAAAGCTCAAAAGTTTAGATCAATCTTCAGAGAGGTATGTTTCTAATGGACAGGATTTCTGTCAAGCCAAGAACATTCATTATCTCTGCAATGTTCTTTTCAAGCTTACAGCTCTGGAGAGTGCAATTTATTCATCTGTCAGGTTTTATGCACTTCTTGCCAGGGTATCATTTATATATTATTTCTCCAAACCAGAAAAAATATTTTTAGAAAGGGAGAGCTAGCAGAATAAAGCCTTTAAATACAAATGAGCTGATTCAGAGTCCCTTCTCCATTTTCTATCTCCTTCAACCACATTGCCTTGTATTTACCCTTAAGTTAAACCAGTCAGATGAGTTTTTGCTCTCTGTGACAGAATTACAGAAAACAGGATAAGCAGTTTATCCTTTCAATGTGCAAACAAGGCATCTCTTCCAAGCAGATGTATTAGCGAGTCACCACAGCAGGTGCAGCCCAGGGATGCTCACACCCAGCATCAGAAAAGTCTGACCCGGGGGAAAAGGAAGGTCCTGCTGCCTGGCAGAGCACAGAGGAAGGCCTGTGGCTCTGTAATTCTGTTCTTCACTCACTGTGCAGTGTGCAGTTAATGAGATACTGCTGCCAGTTTCTCTTCTTGTGCTGTCCTAAGGCTGCTTCTGCTGCTCTTCCCTCAGCACCCACGTGCTGCACGCGCCTGTGCATTCCCACAGCTCTCCCTTGGTAAGTCTGGAGCCAGCAGGAGGCTGTTCCTACAGACTTTGGGAAGGCAGAGGTGCAGGATCTGCTATCTGCACATCTGCAATCATACCCTTCATTCCATTCAAGGGTATGTCAGCCTTAAGTTACAGAGCTCTGCAAGATGTTTCCTTGTCCTCCTCTACTTCCACCTGACACAGGAATGCTGCTATCACCACCTGGTTGCCTGGTAATTCCTTTAATAAGACCGTGTTTCCAATTGCTAAGATTCTTACTGAGCTTCAAGCACCAGGCTCTGTGGCCCCAGTGAGCAACTAGGGAAGATTTCTTCTGTCACAGTTTGGACACGTAATGGGAAATGGTAGCAGATCTCTGACAGTCTTACAGTTTGAAGCAGGGAATTGAAAATTAGGTGGTAGGGAGGACTTCAAATTTATTGAAGTGGTGTGCTTTATGAATTGTATGAGGAATCTTCCAAACGCCCTGAAAATTTGAACGTTGAAGCTACCTAGGTGAGATTGGATGAAACTGAACTGCAATTTCCCAAGAATTTGAGGTTTTTAAGGGCCACATTAAGAGAAGAGATAGATTTTAGCACCTTATCACCACCTTCAGTGCTGTATGGCTGGACCTGAAAGCAAAAAGGCTGTCCTCCTCATCTCTCGGAGACTTCCCTGCTTATCCTATCCTACTCCAAGGCAAAAGATAAAACCTGGCTTCAGCAACACCTGCAATGAAGGAAGGACAAAGAGGCTGAGGACCGAGCCGTCACTGAGACAAGAGCATGAGAGCTGGCGGGCAAAAATCTGTGACAGCGAGCCCAGGAGCTGCAGGGTGTGGGCTGGGGGGTTGTTGATCACACATGGGCTGAAGGAGGCAGGTGGCAAATGGCTGAGGAGACGAGGACTGAATCTGGCCGGAGGAGAAGGACGTTGATCGGTGGTCGGGAAGAAAAGACAGTGCGAGGCTGGAGCGAGTGCGTGCCTCAGCCCTTCGCTGCTCTGCGCCGGGCCGGGCAGCGCCGGGCGCTTATCGCTCGGCCACACGCGTCCTGCACGTGACGGGCCCGTGTCCCCCGCCAGATAACGCGCGTGGTGACACCAGGTACCACGGAATGAAAGCTGTCCCGCATTGACCCTTTTCTCTCGCTTGAACACCTGGCAATTGCACCTCCCAGCCTGCGCTACGTGCACGTTACCATCAAGGCCTCATTATACCAAACACCGGGACAGACCAGAGGCATTCTCTGTTTCCCTCAGCCGCCTGTGCGCCACTCTCCCTCAAACCCGTCCCGCAGGCAAACTGCTGCTGTTTCCATGCGTGTCCCTGCAGTGGCAGCTGTCGCTGTGCCGAGCAGTGCCCCAGCACAGCCTCCTGGGCAGGTTCTGTTCAGCCCTCAGAGAAGGGCGCGTCGCGCCCGCCAGGCGGGGCAGAGCGGCGGCCGCGCTCGGTGCTGCCTCACGCGGCCCCGGCCACGCAGGGGCAGCCCGCTCCCCTCAAGGGCAGGTGCGGCTGACAAACGGAGCCCGCGGCGCCGCCGCTGCCCACCCGCCGTGCCCCTCGGCCTGAGGGGAAGGCAGAGCCGGGGCCAGCCCCGCGGGCCCGGCCTGGAAAACCTTTGGAAAGGCCGGGAGTGAAGGGCACGGGCAGCGCGAGGCCGGAGCTGGGGCAGGTAAGGACGTCACACCGTCCTGCTCCTTAGAAAACACACACCGGGACTAGTTCTGCTATTTAAAAGTGATTTATTTTCTCTGATTAAGCATTCTAAGATCCGTTTGGGTTTTTATCTGTAGAATCGTACAAACACGATTTTCATCTGCGGAACGAAGGAAATAATTTTCATGCATAACGGTGGGATGCACAACTCTTCACATTGTTACAGGGAAGAACAGCAAACCTTGTATCGTATAGCACCAAGAAGAATTTTAATTACAATGTGAAAGAAAGGTACCACAAAAGCTTCTTGTTTCATGGTATATCATTTAGGTTGACATTTTTACTCCAAAGTATATGCTGTTTTCCAAGCAACGAAAATTAAGCTTCTCATTAAAAAATTAAAATATACCTGTTTAAAAACTTTACACCTTCTAAAAATTAAGATAGTAAATTTTTATTTTCTTGCATAGCATATTTTGAACTTCGAAACAGATAAGAAAATCTAACAAAAGAAAAAACCCAACCCCAAAAAATTCTTTCTTTCCTAGTCTTCGCTTACCCTAGCCTGGTCAAACAGCAGGAACTAATTATTGAATATGTACATCATCAACTTGCACATTCCTCTGAAAATTTAAGCCTACAGTCCTGCTCCTTTATTTATTACTATAAAAATGGCACTAAAGAGTTCAAATTTTTCTGTCCAATAAGTCACTTCTACTTGACTTTCAAAAATAGTTTGGGAAATGCCAGCTCTAAACACTCAACAAGTGAACCAAAAATTCATACTTCAGGTCTTTCACTGTCTTGCATCACCATAACTATAACACCCAGTTCTGTTGTTCATTTCAAAGATGAACTAGATGTGACAAGCAATTTCAAATACTTATGCATGTCTGTTACCTGCAGGCACAGGTAACTGGTTGGAAATAGCACTACTTAATGCACTATAAACACTGCAAAAGAGGAGATATATTAAATTTCCTTTTTGACAAGAAAAAGGTAGTAACATGTGCCATTAAATCGAACCAAAGGAAAGACCTGTTGAGTAAGGAGATGTGATTTGATGTAGTTGCTGCTCAAGAACAGAACCTTACACTTGCCCAAAGCATCCGAGATTGCCAGGGGCCAGTAAAGGCAGGATTGCTCTCCTCTCCTGATAGCTTTGGCCATTCTCACTTTCAGGACAGGAAGAAACATCACAAATAGTGCTGAGATGCTGTGGCTCTGTGGGTACTGCAGTTCTCTCCACTCTCATTACAGCTCCCCGAACTGGGCACTCTCTCCTGCCATGCCAGAGCACCAGGACATTTCTGGTACGGCTGCTGGGGGCACCTCAGCATGTTCAGTGTACCAGAAAATACCACCAGCCTAAGGAGAATAATTTATTGACTGTGCTATCCCTTGCAGTCTTATCTGTTATACACATAAATGGACACTTGGCTTTATTTTGAGCTGCAGCCCATTTTCTGAACAATTGCTTCTGCTGAGCTGCTGGTCAACCAGATCTATTAAATCTTTCCACACAGTTTTGAGAAGATATATTATTTACTTCAGCTTAAGAAAAAGTGCCAGATTCATTACACTACAAATGCATACTTCACAAAAGTAGACAGACATTATTGTTTTGCTTGCATGGTGGCTCCAGGGGATAGCAAGGCAGCTCATCTGGCATCTTTGTAACACATCTCTGTCACAGATCTCTGTGACACCATGGCCAAATTAAAGCTCAGTCCAACAATCTATGAAACTATGGGACTCTGATTATTACTGTCCAAGAGAGAATGTATCTACACAGATACTTATGTAATATTTCTATCCTGTAAGTGGATCTCAGATCAAAACAAAAACATGAATGTTACAAGACTTCCAGGACTATTAGCTATTCCAAAAGTATTTAAGATTATTTTAAATGACTAGCCAAGAGTTTATGCCAAAACCATTGTTAGGATATACATATTCTGTAATCTAGGGCTACCAATACACTACAAGGCAACATATTTACTCCAGCTGTCAGGCCAGCTTAAGGATTTCATTATCAATTATCTCAACTGCCTATATTTTTTTTTTTTTTTTGTGTCTGCTGGGTCTAGTCAATGAGAAATTCTGATAATTTTATTCTGTTGCTTTCAAAAAACTTAAGACTGTTTAGACACTACAAGCTGTCCTGAAATTATCTTCACTCTAAATTACTCAATTCAACATTTAAAAAAAGCCTATCACACATTATTAGCTGTACAGCGCCACAGTTGTGCATTGGTAGTTCACACAGTAACATGACCCCCTTTCCCAGGAATTTATAATTTTTACACAATGACATGACAGACAGACGTGGTTATCAGACAAGAAGTGCAAAATGGCATGCAACTCATATGCATTATCGTCCATTTCAACATTATTTTTATGAAGTGGCTCACAGTGTGGGCCAGCACCCCAGCTCACACTTACACTTTGTATACATTGAGCTTAATACAATCTTTTGCATTTTCACATTCATAGCATCTTTAAACTAACAATTACTGACATTTAAACTCAAGTGGACAATCCAAGCTACAAGCATTCTTTATATATGCATTCTTCAACTTAAACAGACCCTACAAGCTATTCCACTCTTAAATGTTCTACTCTTCCTACTTCCAGGAAAAGGCTGCATAAGGTACATTTTTCTGAGCTTATTCACAGCAATAGAATCATGTTGTGCATGTATCAGCAGGTGTCTCCTGCTGCAGTTGAGTAGCACCTGCTTTCAAATTATTTCTGCAATCATTTTACTTGCTGAAATCTCCCACTTTGCTGAGCTCCAGCAGCAGCCCAGGGCGGCTCTCCAGGCTCGGACATACTGTAGGTGCCATCTTTGTTTAACTTCATGGGTAAAGCTCCCCAGGATTAGAAGACAAACTCTAATCACAGAAAAAATATCCTAGGGCACATGCATGGTGCCTGCACACGGTGTGTGCCAGTGCTAAAGGGACACCAGTGACACTATGGGCTGGTGTGACAATGGCAGTGTCTGCTCACCTCACCTTGGCCAGGGAGATGTCACACAAGGGGAGGTGAGCAGCAGCCATTTCTGCCTTTGAAGGTGACACACAGAGTAGCAGAACTAAACAATCAGCTTGTGGAGATGACAGACCCAGTTATACATACAGATTCCTGTGTTCCTAAAATACATTTAATGCTGCAGATTTGTCACTATTACGTTCTTTTCCTACAATCTTATCTGGAAATAATCTGTGAACAGAATTATTTGCATAGATTTTTTCAGACTCTTGAAACTTCCCCCCTGAACTGATATGTGCCAGTGAATGATAGAGGTATCTCGCAGTCAAAACAAGTAACTGCACTTGGACTAATGGGTTTTAAGAAATTGGTTGTTAAAAACACTTCTAGGCCCTGCAGAATTGTTAGCAGGCTGAAAGGTACTGTAATGCCAATGGGATAAAGTGAGGAAGTGTTGAATCTTTGACAGCTGACAGACTCCAGAGCACTGATGGGCACTAAGCTGGTGAACTTCCCTGGCTTTCACATGCATGTACAAATAATCATTTGGGTTGAAATCTGTCCTGCTACACTTACTTCATTCCAAAGCCAGCTGGAAAGTTTAAAAAAGACTAAGTGAACCATTTTTGAGCACTATTACTGTGAAATGTTTATGTATTTCTGGTGTTTTAAACTAGTTCCAACATTGCCCTGTCAAGTGCACAACTTCTAGTACTATTCGGGGAATTTCTAAGCTCTCTATACACTAAAAGGCATCACATCTAAAATTTACATCTTCAAAGGGCTGCCTCAGTTTTCACTGACATTTGCACACCCAGATTTTCTACATTCAATACCCCACAATACCATTTTTGCACATGCTCTGAAATGACTCAGCCTTAACCATGTAAAATGCACTAGTATTGGTCTCCTACATCTGCCTGGAATTCCCAAATAGCTCTTCTTCCTCCTCTGCCATCACAGGAGTCCATCCTTTACAACAGACTTCATATTAAATATATGCTCTTCTATACACAACACAGTGGTTAGCTGAAGTTACCAAAACATCAACCTTATTTCCATTTTCTATTAGATTCTTCCCTAGCCTGCTCTTCCCACTTTCCAGGTTACTAACACAGGCTGAGGACCTCTTCCCTCCCCTCTGCGGAACCTGTGCTGATTCTGTAAGTGTTCCCCACCAGAGCAGACGTGTGTTTGAGCCCACACGTACCACAGGACACCCAGTTGTGTGTACAGGTCGGGGGGAGGGCTGGAAAAGGTCCTGAGTTGCAGCTGCTGCTCCAGTGAAATTTTACCTGTCTCTGGTAGTCACTGGACAAGTACCATAATTCCTGGCTTCCCTTTTTGAAAAGGAAGCTGAGCAGACCATGAAAATCTGTACTAGAAATCCAATGCAGAAGGAAGCACACCTAACCTAACACCCAGTAAAGTGGTGGCAAATCCTCAGAATGATGTAGGATTTAAACTTGGATGCCTCTCTCTGGAGTTTCCCAAAGGCTAAGCCTGGTCACTTTCTTGCACTAGGAGCAATCCCATCCACTGTATCTTCCCCCACCCATTGCACAGTCAAGGAATTTAACCAGGAATTTTGCACTGCACCACTAAAGACAGTCTTAAAAATTAACAGTGGCAAATGCTCATGAATGCAATGTCTACATCCTTTAATGCTGCACTTGGGCTTAGAAATGTTCATTTAGTAAAGCCATAAATATTTTTCTTAAATTCTGTTTAGATGGCAGTTCGAACAAGTTGATTTAATTGTGACAATCTCCTGGGCCTTAGGCCTTATACACTTTGCTCCTTTGAACTGCAATTCAAATTTCACCCACTATTACCATTATATTCCACCCCCAACACATACTGTAACTTATGTTCTTTGAATGGTAAATAGAAATGTTTCAAATAAAAGGCTTTCAGCAGAATCTATATAGGCTGGGCTTCTTTTAAAATTCCAAGGTACAAAAGGGGCCTTTCTGATCTCTTCTGGCTTTAAAATACCCAGAGGTGCCTTGTACTAGC